CTCTTTCTTTTCACTCTCTCTCTCTCTCTCTCTCTCTCTCTCTCTCTCTCTCTCTTTCTCTCTTTCTCTTTCTCTCTCTCTCTCTTTCTCTCTCACTTTCTTTCACTCTCTCTCACTTTCTTTCACTCTCTCCTCTCCTCTCTCTCTCTCTATCTCTTTCTCTTTCTCTCTCACTTTCTTTCACTTTCTTTCACTTTCTCTCTTTCTCTCTCTCACTTTCTTTCACTCTCTCCTCTCTCTCTCTCTCTCTCTCTCTCTTTCTCTGGGCTCTGACACGGCGATCATCACTGTAAGGTAAAGGACCCGGGGTCGAATCCAGCGGCCCTGCATTTGAACCCTACATACTTACAAATGTTTTTTTTTTTAACAACGGCGCCCCAAGGGTTGATATAACCTCTGCTGTGGCGAACCCTCGTAAAAAAAATGCTCTGTAATATTCATATGTACCTTATTATTAATTTATTTTCATCTCACTGGGTTAAGCCCTGATGATGGTGAAATAAACACAAATAAAGCACAGCCCAAAAAGTTGGTTTTGTTCCATATGACTTGTAAAGAATATCTTATCGCCCAAACTTAATTTACTACAAGGCCTACATCAAAACCAATTTTTTAGTCTAGTTGTAAATTTGTATCGCTTTTTTTTATTTCTTGTCAAGCCACTGCAAAGCTAGTACAACAGTGACATTTTAAATAAAACCGTACACTTTTTTCCTACTGTATGGAGCAGATTTTGAAATGATAGAAAAATAACAAAGTTATAGGACAGAATGTCTTAATTAATTAATAGTTGGACTCAACGGAAAATATAGTCCTAATCATTAATCATGTTTCATATGTGGGCAGTTCGATTTTTATGCGTTATATAGCCTTCAGGATAAACAGGATACAACGGAATTTGCTTGTTATTAAGTAATATTTAGAGAAAAATATTTTCAAAGTTAACAGAAATTATGCTTTAATATTTTTATATAATTTATAATAATTCGTATTGACTAAAAAATAGCTAAAAAAATGTTGACTTGGTGATTAAATTTTAAAAAATTATAGAAACGGCAAGTGGAAATTTATATATTTTAGTTTGTGCGATAGATAATTTATTATAACTTCCAGAATAGGCACAAAGCTGGGACGTAATTCGCTAAAATATGCGGCAAATTAGTTTGTAATTGTTAGAAAATCTCCAGAATCGATGGGAGCCCAACTGGAAAACGTCGAGAAACTTCTTAAAATCCCTGAACAAAATCAAGAACATTGGCATTTGTTGTACCTTTAAAACATTAAAAAAAAATTATTTGTTTTATATTCCGCTGATAAACATTTTTCAAATTTAATTCAACCTTTTCAAAATTAAACTGAACCCATTACAGTTCGTGGTTCGATTGACCAATTAATATTTTTCAATTAATTAATAATTAGTAAAGTTATTGGTTGAGATAAAAAAGTCAGTACCACTTGAGCTATCGTAACTTCAGTCCATTCGGACACCAACTTGCCATCTCAACTTCACTAGCGCAAGTGGTAGAGCAGCGGCATATTTAGCAGAAGGTCCTGGGTTCGAATCCCGCTCGTGACACTGACTTTTTTATCTCAACCAATACCTTTCATAAATATTAAACTGAACGTTTCACAAACCAAACTCGGCCTTTTTCTAAATCAATTTAAATATTTAATATTTCAAAATTAACATTTTTAGTTTGGAAAAATATTATTAACAATATTAATCTTTAGAAAAAAGTTAAATACCCCTTGATACTGTAAAGTTAGATAATATTTAATAATTAGATAGCAACAGAAGGACTAACTTTCAGGATGAAAAGTTCCAAACCTTAAATTGTATAAGAATGCCATATCCTTGAATTCTATAATAAATTTGTACTTGTGTTTATTTATACCTCAGAATCTGCAAAGTGAGCGGACATCTGTGGAAGGTGCGAATAGCTCACTTTCGCCCTCTTTAGTATGCCCGGAGAAGGACTGTTTTTGACTGTAAGAGTTGGAAACTAGTCGCACGTGGATGTGTTATAAATAAATGAGCAAGAAGAAAGTGTCCGGCTTGGGAAATGGCGAGTTGGAAGACTACAAGTCTACGTGTGCAAACAATAACGACACAAGTTTCAACAACTTGTTCCGCCCCCCGGGGAGATCCTTAGCTGTTTTCTACGACTTTACAAGTCTTTTCACCTAATAGGAAAGGCAGGTGCAATCCCAGGGAAAAGGCTCGTTGGTAACAAACCGGCAGAAATCACTGGAAATTCGCGTCGCAACTTTACCCGAACGGAACTTACCCGAACTAATAACAATTTTTTTGAGCCCGATACCTCTGGACTTTCTCTAACAAAAGTTTGTTTTACACTTTCTTATTTTAAGGAGATCTCCGGAAATTAAAAGGTGCCGGGGTTCATTCGAGTATTATTCTTCAAACAATTTACCTTACTTTTGGGTGTTTTTCTCCTTTCAAAGCCTATTTGTAATCTTTTATGTGCGAAGGCTATTAAATTCATAACACCCTGTAAAATCACCGTTAACCCACTAAATGTGATAAAAATTTTAAAATGTGTTTTTATTTATTTACTACTTAGTAGCGTTATAAAGAAACTTTTTCCCTTGATGTTTGTTCAGGGAGCATTTTGTTCAGCCCAGGCTCCCCTTTTTGTCAGTCAGAGGCGCCTGGTTTCTCGCCATCTTCAGTGTTGACCGTGTGTGATTTCCGTTCTGTCTTACAATGAAAGGCAAGGACCCAATATGCGTGTTCAACATCCCACAGACCAAAAACGTAAAGTGATATGTCAACAAACTTGGCAGTTCTATGAATGAGTCAAACAAGTCAGATCAGAAATTTGGGCTAGACGTGATTCTAAAACGGCCAACGCAAAATTAGAATGCGCAAACATGAAATATTATATAACGAAAAGGAAGAAAAAAGTAAATAAATAATCTTAGATTTGAGTTAAAACGTCATCAGAAACTAAACCTAACAACAAACAAACAACTGTCAATGATGAAAAAAATGTACGTTCAAAAAATCAAATCAGTGCATATTCAAAATTACATTGCAAACAAATGGAACGAAACCTGAGAAAAAACAACTGAGCATCTTCTTACATAAAAATTTCCCTTTAAGCGCATATTTTCTCGTTACCGAAAAAAACATTAAATAATGGATATGGAGCCTAACGCTAAACCTAACCGCATCCCAATCGCATCTTAATCCTATCGATAATCCTACCTAATACTAACCATCACAGTACATAACTCATCCAAATCCCTAACTTTACCTAATTGCAACACTAACCGTACCTAACTCGTTCCAATCGCTAGCCTTACCTAATCCTAACCATAACCATACCTAATCCCCGGCCTTACTCCTCACCCTACCTAATGCTAACAATACCTAACCTACCCATTCCTAACCTAAACGCACTCCTAATCGGAAGCCTACCTAACCGAACCTACGCACACTCCCTAGTGACGCAAAATGGTAACAAAAAGTGTATACAGCCCCAAAAACACATCTCAGGTAAATCTAAAAATATACCTATAAAACTAAATATCAACCATCGCATTTTAGTCTGTCAGAGTTATTTGTTTCATCTTGCCGCCATCAGTTTTGGGTGTGTTTACCCTTTTCGTATGTTTCTTTTTATATACTCAACGAAAAAAACGGTACATAGATTGCGATTTAACCAACAATATATTCTATAATTAATTTTCGGTGTTTTGGTGCATTTTCTTTCAAACCATCATAATTAAATAGTGTGGTGATTAGTGACCGTTAGTCGATGATTATTCGGAAAATAATCGTGTTGAGAGTGCCACGCAAGAATGGCACAATTACGCAGAAAACAAACACTTTGAGCCCTGAAGATGACCTCAATAAAGATCGAAACGTTGGCACGATAAAGAAAATGTTTTTCTGAAACCTACATCACACCAGACCGCATCTCATGATTTCAGAATAATCAGAATTAAATAGTTTTTATTAAGCTCGTAAATTTCCGATCTCGTTTAATTTTGTTTACATTAAAATATATATGATTTAATATGATAAAAATTCGTTTAGTTTGAAATAAGAAACAAAATTCGAGAGCCCAGTTTTATGTTTTGAGAGATTAATTTCAAGGTGTGAAAGTAGTTTGAGGGTATGGTCTGACATCGTTTTTGTCTGTATTTTAGGTTTTTTCTGTTGGTAATAGTTACTGCATTTTAGTGCAAATCACAACCCATAAGCCATGAAGCTATTAATCAATTCTTGTTGATTTGTAAACGTAGGAACAATAGTTACTGTCGCTTTCTCCTTTAAAATATCATTTTTCTAAAGATATGGTTTCTACCTTCTTTTTGGAAAACAATTATTTTAGACTTGTTTAGATTGACTGTAAGGTTCCATTTTTTACAGTATCCTTCCAGAAGATTGATGTTAGTCCCATAGACTGTCTGCCAATATGTCTATATTGTCCGCGTACATCAAAATTGTTATTTTCACGCCTTGGATACGTATTCCACTTTCTAAGCACAGGTCAGGTCATCAAAAAGAGATAAAATAACATAGGGCTAAGTGGACAGCCATGTTGATCGCTAAGCGCCATATTGATCCCGAAAAAATTCCGAGATTCCTTTTGACCCCGTATCCCAGAAGATGCAACCGAAAAAAAGAGCGCAAAGGATATGAAGAAATCAGCTAAGATAGTCAGAACAAAACGATAAAATTCTGTGTTAAATACAGTACAAAATATAGGGCCCAGAAATAGTGTTACAATAAATACAGTATAAGAAAGTCAAGTTCAAAAATTGTAAATCTGAAAAAGCCCGCGAAGCTAATGAAATTATTCAGAAATGCCATTCAAACCACTAAAACATACCTGGCACCATTTAAACATTTTGTTAAATCAATAATATTCAAACTAGGGAACTTATTCTAGTCATGATATAAGAGCAAAGGATTGGTCCATATTTTTTTTGAAAATAGAGACATCTGATAAAAAAGACAACTGACAAACTAATTTCAAAAGTCAGATTTAATTATTTTTCAACAAAACCCAATCATGTCCACAAGATGTTCGTCAGTCTTGATTATTAACGTTGTTTGATCGGTCCAGAGGAATTCGCCGTTGTCCGGGACATACCTGGTGAAGATCCTGAAGCATTTAGCCCCCGTGAACCAGTCCCAGACGTACGCGTACCTGTCCGTGAAGACCGCGAGTAACGTGAAGGGCAGGCGCTGGAGGTAAACCGGGTTCCCCTCGGTTGAGACCCTTCTCAAGATGGTATTTGATCTCGGCTCCCAGATGCTGATGGACGTCGTCTCGCCGTAAATAATGAGCTCGTATACGGCCGCAACGCTCTTGAAGGACAGATATCCCGGAGTGTGCCTCTCTGATATGATTTTTCCGTTCGTCCTGTCCCAGACCGTTATGACGCCGATATACGCAAATCCGGGGCTCGCGACGGCCACGCCGGCGAGCAGAGAATCCGCACCAATCAGCTTCTGCGTCTTGCACAAGGGAGTGGTCACCTCGTAAATCCATTTCCTCAGTGTCAAGTCATAAGCCGTGACGTGCCTGATATCCCTCGAGGCGTAAATCACGTGTATGCAATCCTTATAAAGCAACATGTCCCGGAGCTTGCACATCCTGTTCGGAATATGAATCGTGTCAGCCCTTTTACCGTGTTTGTCCCAGACGAATATGCATTGCAAATCTCTCACTCCGACGTAAACCCGGTCGTTCAGTATATCGAAGAACACGTCGCGTATTTTGCCGGGTTTGTACATCTTATTTACTTGGTGGGGCTTCCATCCAGTACACTGGAACAATTCGACGGTGGCGAAACACGAGTCGAACGACTTAGCATCTAGGAAGCCGTCCTGGAGGCTGAAAAACTGGAGAAGCATGTTCTGCTGTATAACGCATAAATCGCCTTTGATTTTAACCTGGAGTATCCTCGAATCTAAAAGCCCTTTGAGATCCGCCTCTAGACTCGGAAGTGTCTCGATGTTCAAAACTGTCACGTGCCCGTCTGCCCGAGCCATCGCGAGGCGTTCGCCGTCGCAGTGGATGCAAGAAACCGGCGAATCCCTGGGGTCAGACAACCTATATCGGACTGAACGGTTCCTTTCCCAGTTTACGGGAAGCGCCTGGTGCCTCTCGTAATTGACCCTCCAACTGCATTTCTCTTCGATTGCCTCGGATGCATCTGGAAAAGAAGACCCAACTGACAATTGTACCATATTTCAAAAATCAAATACTGACCTGATTGCTTCAATTTTGGCAAATAGTGCGATTTAAAGTTGTCGACCATTTTCAAATCCGTCCACTCTTTTTTGTAACAATGCCTCTTCCAGAGTGAGATGCAATTGGTCAACGCCCTCCATCTCTTGCTCACCCCTGAACACCTAGTCAGTTCCCGTGGAGATAAATGGCTCAAAACCATTTGGCCTATTTCTGGTGGTAGTCGGCCCACAACATCAAACCTTTCATCAGTCAAAAGGGTGGAATGATCCATTTAACAATGCCCTACTTTTTAATCCAGAGCTAAACAATTAAAAAATTCATGTCTTACTTAAATAAAATACATGTGTTTTCTTATTACGTCTATCATGCCTGACGATTATTAAAATTAAATTTAAACATGCTCCCTTAAGCTTAAGATCACAAGAACGAAATGTCACTTAAGGAAATGTTTATTAGTATTTCACTAAATTTAAAATGTGTTATGTAATTTGACATACTTTTCATCGGTCAACAATTTAGTTGGTTGCTAAAATTGCCTCAGATTACCAAGCAGTTATTCGGCCATTTTGGCAACATTTAAATTAAATTTAATGGACCCGTTTCGACCAATACTGTCGATGTTACTTGCGTACGCGTAATTATAGTTGCAGCAGTTTTCATTTGGGTACACCAAGCCGCGCTACTCGCACACCGGACGGACTTATCCGCCGGACAGCAGTAGCAAGGGTCAGTTCTCGTTCAACTTCAAATTTCGGAAAGTCTTAACAGTAGTTTTTTTTTCTTTCTGGTTTCTCTCCGCTCTCTTGCTATTATATTATAGGTATTTTGTGTTAGAGGTTAAATCAAACGCCACTGTGTTTAGGGAGTCAATTTAAATGACATATCTACTTCCGTGGTTAAGTCAAATGCCAACATCTTCAATGGTAAAATCAAACGCCGATACTTTCAGTGATTAAGTCTATTTTGACAATTTTATTCGTTTAGCAGTTACTTGCCAACCACCGAGATGTCATACTTACAAACCGCGACTGACAGACTAAACCAGCAAAACTTGGCATACCAGAAAAATAAGGCACAATTCCAAGTTCATACCTAAACACAATATCCCACAAACACCTGCTAACTACAAAAAAGAATTTGAAACTATTAAAACCTTAGCAAAAAACAACGGGAATCTAGAAATATTTATTGATAGGTTGCTAGTTAAAAGAATTAAAAAATAAACTTTAAACAAATCAACAATAGGACTCAGCCACCCCACCACAAATGAATCATTAAGTTTCCGTTGTTTGCCATACATTGGTGAATTATCGGAAAAAGTTAGTAAAATTTTTAAACAAGCTTTTAGAAGTACGGGTTCACTTAAAAACATCTTCTCAAAACCTAAAGACAAGGTAGATAACTTGGCAAAAAGGCGGGGTTTACCAACTCAATTGTAATGATTGTGATATTAAATTTAAATATATAGAACAAATCAGTAGAGAAATAAAAACGAGAGTAAAAGAACACTTGCCTAAATTGAGCAAATTTTCGGAATTTAAGGGCCAAAAGAAACAAAACATAATTTAGGTTCAAATATGAATACAACAATGTTACATAGTTTCAACAAAGGGAGAGAACTAGATTGGTTTGAGATATTTGAAATTAAAAAATGTAAAATTGAACATGGTAATAAATGCATTAATAATATAACAGATTTTGATCTACCTCCCATTTTAAATATGCACAAAAAAATATTAAACGTCTAAATAATGAAATTAATTATTTTAACTGTTATTATTTTTATAATAATTTAATAATATATTTTCTATCTTTTATCTTTAATCACTAATTTATAATTAATTTCTTACAGTATTTACTATTATAATATTTATTCGTGTCATAATTCCCGCTTTTCGCACGTTCAAATTGAGCGCCATTAAAAAACCAGCTGTTCATTGGAACGTCGCGGTGGCGAGGGTATCAGCGGGTTCACTTTTGCAATTCATGTTGAGAGACGTGTTTGTAGAAACCCTTCAACCTGATGATGAGCTAAAGGGCTCGAAATCCGGATTGTTGGCAAACCACTAACTGTGAGTAGGAACTATCTTCTTTAAAAAGGATTGAACACCACACTCACTCCATCATTCATCATTTCTATTGACCATTATTTTATCGAAACGCTCCAGATCATGGTATACCTCCAATGTTTATTGTTTTACTTTATTAGGTAAAATTTATATTTTCAAATATTTGTTTTTATCGCAGATTGAAGTTCAACAGAATATTTTTACTTGATCATGTTTAAAAGAAAATAAAACCTACCTGCCATTGATTCTATACCAAGCAGTATTAGTATAAACACATTAATCACAATCGTGTTTGTTAGTAAATAAAAACAGGATGAATTAAAAAAAAACACAACATAATTTTCATTTGATTTAATAAACTAGAATGGGTCACCTGAACCACAAACTAATTTCACAAAATTCCCATTTTTCTTGTAAGTATAAATAAGTTACGACCCATTTGTAACCAACAGAACAAAACACAATTACAAAAATCTTAGATTTTAGTAAAATAATAGCAAAACTAACATTAAAAAATAAAAATCGATAGATAAATTTTGATAAACATTCTTTTTTTTTTGTTTTAGTATGGGCTATTTTAATTTGCTGGTGATTCAATTAAATTGAATGTTGTAAGCAATATTTTTTTATAATTACACAGGAAGGAGTATCCAAAAGAAAAGGATACCCCTATAGTTAAATTTGTCACAATTTCAACTATACAGTTAATACTTCATTAAAAAAACAACTAAAACTGAATTAAACGTAATATTGATAGTTTTGTTTTTTAAATACAAAGTACTAAAGCCTCACAACCAACGAAAGTCTAACAAAAACAACAAAACATTCTTTTATCTATGTCTTCGTTATGTACAATAGCACGTATTTTTTATATAAATTCTTTTATAGGAAAGATCACGGCCCAGCCATTCTCTTAGGACGTTGAAACTCTCAAAGTATTAGAGTGAGCAATATCATCTTTAACCTCTAGACATGAAAAAAGCTTCCTATTTAAATTTAAAGAATGTAAGCTTAGGATTGACCTTAGTATAAATTGTAGCTGATTATTAAGTTTGCACATTGACTTATAAAATGAAAAATGTACAATAGGGGGGATTTTTTTTTCACATACAGTTTTATCAATGGGAGCTGCTATAAAAAAAACTGAATCACACTATTTCAAAAAGGCTTACATCCAGAATTTCATGTTGTCTTACAAGTTCAAAGCATTTACACATATGTACATTGTATTTCTTTTTTTTACATACATCTAGATACATTTTGTTAAAGCATTTTTTTTTTAGATTTAAATATGTATGTAAATACAGTGAAGATTTCTAGAGGAACAGATTTTGTTTTCCTAATGCTACTAAGAAATTTTTGTTGATAGACGATCTGTTCACAAAATATTTCTAATAGCATCATCAAATTTGAAATATACGAATTAGTTAAACAAAGGGGCCTGATTAAAAAATACCCTCTCCTAATAGAATATACTCTTCTCTTATTACATCAAAAATATCTCTTTAACACCATTTAAAAAAAAATCCTCTTTTCCTACTAAGGACTGGGTCTCTCTCTCGATATTTTATTATTTACCCTAAATTAATACAACAGTGAAATAAGGAATGTAATCTAAATTAAAGAGAAATCATAGTGATGTTTTCCCTGTCTCTCCAATTGAAAATGTTTACAAAAGAAAATTATTTTTCTGAAGGATAAACACAAATTGGCAGTTACAAAAATACACTCGAAAACGTCTAAAATCTAATATTTTAAACAATAAGAAAAATAGCCTTCATTAAATTTACAAACACACACCGTTTCATATCAGGCAGTATCTTTGGTTAAATCTAGGGTACTCTGGTATGTAATTAATGACTCCCGGTGAAACACCTGTCGTTTTGTTTCTCATTTTGTCTTTTCTTTTTCTTTCTTTTTTTGTTCTTTTTTTTTAAATATATATATATTAGGTTTTAATTATTTACTATCCTACAACTTGCCAGTGAAGCGGTAAATCAAACAAGTTTGATACAAGAAAATCAATTTTGTTTTTCTCCTTTGAAAATGCTTCTAAAAAAATGGTTAGAAATAAATTACAGAAGTGATGTTTACAAACAAAATGTTGTGATGTTCAATCAACAGTCTTTCATCTTTTGAAAACAAAGTTTACAATTTTAAAAACTCGGAAGACTGGTTTGTTTTTTTAATAAAATATCTACATGCTTATAGAACATCACTTAGAAGGCATTGATATTTTAAATGTTATGAATATGTTTAAGGCAACTGTCATAAAATTTTGAGAATTTTTTAAAGTAATATTTATCCATAAACAGATACTCACTGTAATTAACATACAACAAAATATGTACTTTTATATTGGTTATGAATTAGATTTTTTTTTTTTTTCAAAAGGATATTTACAAATTCAACTAAAAAAAATTGTTAATCTAAAACCCTTTTTCAGGTGTATTTTTTAATATTATTTATTTTATTATAATTGTGATTATTATTAATAGCAATTACTTTTGTTAAAAAAATAACTTTGTAGTAATATACAGTTTATTGGTTACGCGTAGCTAAAATGTTCACTTATACGCCTTATATTTCAATCGCAATTTACAAACTAAAAAAACAAAAAACATACATTACAGCCAATATAATACAAATAAAAGGGAAACTAGCGTTATCACATTATTTTGTTCTCTTAGCTGACACAAAACCATTATAATATAAAGTTTATGATATCAATTCGTTGATGTACGAATATATTAAAAAAGAATACAAATTCAAAAAAGCGAAAGACAAAAATAAAAACTACACTCGTGGTTATTAATATAATAATTATATATTGTCAGTTGGCTGTCCTTATGTTGGTTTCGAGTGAAAAAGGTGTGACTTGGTATATAAAACACCTGTTGCACACTCGAACAGGTTTGAGATGTCCGTATCGAGGGAGAGGGACTGAATTCGAGCTGCACCTTGCACAGAACACCTACAATTTAAAAAAAAATTCGTAAGTATATTGGTTTATAATTGGAATACTGATCATTTCATACTTTGCCACAGTTCCTGCAATGATGCCTTCGCCTAACTACGGTAAAGGGTGAAGTGCAGTACATACAAGAAGGCGCTGCCTGATCAGGCACCCAAGAGGGTGCAGGTTGAGTTTCCCTCTCACCCCATTCAACAGCATCCTCTCCTCTTTCACAGCATTCTATTTCCAAACCAAAATATATACATACATAAAAAACAGATATTTTTTAATTTAATTTACTTTTTTATTTAAAATAATTTACCAATATTTTCATCATTCACAGTCCCATATTCTCCTCTGTCACTGGCATTCATAAGAAAAACAGACTTCAGAATGTTACGAAGATCACCTGCGAAATTTGTCTGAAGTTGGTCTGCCACTCCAGCCACACAAACAAAGAGCCTATGGACTAAGTCCGCGCTCGACCTTACAAATATATAACATTTTAGTGATCACAAATTGCAAAACATTTACTTTTATAATTTTTCTACCTGAATTTTGCTCTAGCTTCTTGACTCGTCCTAAGCTCAGCTGCTTTGAGGGCCAAGGCAACTTCAATGTCGTCTTGGCAATCGGAATTATATGATGATGTATCACTGCTTGCGCTGAAGGAGCATAAAAATATAATAAAAGGGGAGAATTAAGAAAACGCTTTATTAAGTGCTATCATACTGTGTTAAGATAGTTTCTATGTCAATAAATGTAGAGCAGCATTAGACAACAAATCAAAGAAAAGCATGAAGGTGGCTCAAGACATGTGGTAGTTGCCGAATGGTGTTTGCCGCTGAAGGTTTGCCAAGTGTCGAGTTGCTAGTTTTGGCATTCGCCAAACAGAGTGCCTATGTATACACACATGCAGGGTTCATACAATCACCCAGTTTGTGCGGAAACAGCGAATACTTTCCAAGGGCCAAGTCCTCAATTTACTACCAATCATGATGGACAACAGTGAAACTGTCATTGCCGCAGTTGCGGTTCCTGTTTTGTGAGTGACTACAAACTCAGTCACAAATCAATCACAGAGTATTGTTACCCCATCTTTCTTTTGAACCATTTCCACGCATCGAAAATGTTCCAATTTTTGTGATTCAGAATAGAAGCATCAAATTATTGGTACAGCTTGGTACAGATCGAGGTACTCCAAGATGGTTATGTTGAGCCAATTCATTACTAACCAACAGAAACAACGCTATGTTGTTCTTTCATTAATACATTTATATTAAAGAGGAATCATTTATTCTTGAAAAATAATTATTGTTGATAACAGTTGATGCATGTGTGAAGCCACCTACCACCCAGGGAGTTGTGACCCACTCAATGGGTGGTATAGTGTGGTTGAGACTCGAGACCCCGAAACGGTCCACCTTGTGTCCTCATCCACGTCCCTTTCTCAATCCAGGTTCCTTCATTCTATCCTGTGACCCCCTCCCAACCCTTGGTTGCAAGGGTGGAGTCCGGGCGCAAAATAATGGTGTAGCCCTGAGGGCGGGGCAACCACTCTGAAGCACAAGCTGTACTCAGGTTGACATGGGTGGCGGGTGCCTTATCAAAGGCACATGAGGGTTAGGGTACCAGATCCTGTATGCACAGATGGGGGAGGGTGCATAACCATCTGTACTACGGGGTAATAGAAATCCCCCTCGCGAGGGCGCGCCTCGAATTGAGTGGGTTTCTTACCTTCTCCAGAGAGGTGCACCCAGATCTGGGGGGTAGGGCTCACGGAGAGGTAGCGATCTTAATAAGAGATAATATACCGGTACATGAGGTGAGGCTGAAAACATTCAGGCGATCGCGGTGAGGATAGCAGCGCCTATGCATTTTACGTTGTGCTCCATCTACCTTCCCCCAGACAGACAGATCGTGGCATAGCAGTGAGGTCTCTGCCTTGGTCGAGCAACTGCCCCCACCGGAGATGTTGTTGGGTTGTTTTAATTCGCACAACACATGTTGGGGGTCAGTGCACACGAACACCAGAGGCAGACAGATGGAGGACCTAATTGGTGAATCCAATCTGGTCCTTCTAAACACAGGCACTGCTACACACATAGATTTTAGCACAGGTAACCTTAGCGCGATCGACCTTTCTTTAGCTTCACCATCCGTGGCTAATCGTGTAGAGTGGGCTGCATTGGGAGATCCCCATCATAGTGACCACTTCCCAATAGTGTGTAGGACTTCCATCTCGAGAGGGATATATCGTGCTCCTGAGAAGTGGGGTCTGAAGCGTGCGGATTGGGAGCTATTCTCCGCAACAGTGGCAGCACTCGAATTAACAGGGAATGTCGACAGCGGTCTTCTCCTCTTGAGAGGGAGATCAATGATGTCGCATCCAGAGCGACCCCTCCGGTCCTGTCTTCTTGTAGACCCCGAGTTCCTTGGTGGAGTGATGGTTGTAGACGTGCCCATGTGGAGAAGCTGACGTTCCGGCGCTTCAGAAGGCGGCATCCGACAGAGGAGAACCTGGCTGATTTTAAAATTAAAAGAGCAAGGGAGAGACTTACCTTTAACCAGGCAAAAAAGGATAGCTTGGCGAAGTATATGTCGGAAATGACCTACCGTACTTCAGCCAGGGAGGTCTGGACAAGATCAGAGTTCTCTCTTCTCTCTGGCGGGTTTAAACCTCCATCAGTGCCGATACTAACCACTAATCAGGAGTGTGTGACGGAGGCTTCATATGTTGCCGAGGAGTTGGCACGGCACTTCGCTGTTGTATCCAGCTCTGAACCATATTCCGATGGCTTCCGGCACAGGAAAACCGAGATGGAACATACTGGGCTTGATTTCATGACGGAAGCGATGAACAGTACAACATGCCCCTGACGATGGGGGAACTCAAGTCTGTGTTGTGGCACTCTCGGAATTCAAGCCCCGGGTGTGACGGTATCCCATATAAGATGCTTCGACACCTTCCTCATGGTGCGAAGTGTCAACTGTTATTCAACAACATATGGGACTCAGGCTCGTACACCGATCGTTGGCGAGAAGCACTCATACTGATACTCAAGAAAGGTAGGGACCCAAGTCTGGCCACGAGTTACAGACCAATTTCGTTGATAACCTGTTTGAGTAAGATCCTGGAATCCATGGTGAACGGTCGACTGACCTGGCAGCTTGAGACAAAGGGACCAAGCGGGGTTTCACAAGCATCGCTCTGCAGTGGATCATGCTTGCCAGCTCGAGGGAGACGTTCAGGACATATTCCTGAACAGAGTACACGCTCTGGCTGCGTTTTTCAACCCCGGGAAGGCGTATAATACTACATGGAGATAAGCGATACTCATAAATGTCATGATTTTGGATTGAGAGGTAAATTGCCACGGTTTATCCAGGGTTTCCTGGAGGTATCCCTCAAGATTCTGTGATGAGTGTTTCTCGGTTGCGGTGAACGTATTGCTGACTGCATCCCTCTGCAGATAAGGAGAATGCTCTTTGTCGACGACCTCCACTTCTACCATTCAGGCAAGGATCTGGCGAAGGTCGACAGTAGGATGCAATTGGCAATAGACTTAGTGGCTGCGAGAACTGAGGAAACCGGATTTGCCTTTTCAATATTGAAAATGGTGTGCGTCCACTTCTGCGCATAGTCCCGCTCAACTCTGTTTCTATTACCCGAGGGCGAGGGTGGTACGTTGAGAAGGTGCGGTTCCTCACTATCCTATTTGATGAGAAATTGAGATGGCAGCCACACATTGATGCCACTGAGGTCAAGAGCAGGAAAACCCTCACACTGTTGAAGTTTGTTGGTCACTTTAGGTGGGGAGAGGATAGGGAGACCCTATAATGTTCGACCCACTGTTCTGTTCGATGATCTTTTATGGATGTATGGCCCATTCTTCGGCCCGTAAAACGCGACTGAGAAAGCTCGATAGGCTCTATTACCAGGGCCTGAGAGCAATCAGGCCAGTCTCGGCTGCCTTGCTAAGCCGTGGCATCCTCTGGCTGGAGCGGTCCTTCAATGCCCGTACAGAGAAATATACGACTCGCTTCGATTGCAGTCACAACCCCTCAGGATTCGCTTCAGTGAAGCCCTAGGGAGGGCTGGACTGGCCTGGGGACGGTGCTTCGTTTGGGTGACAGACCTACACTGCCCTGGACCCTTCCTGCCATACTCGTCCGTGATGATCTGTCGAAGTTGCCCAAATTGTGTACACCACCATACCTCTACAAAGCTAAGTTTTATGAACTTAAAAACAGATATGCCGGTTTTCGTCTCGTTTTTACAGACGGGTCGAGGACCAACGATGGTATGGTGTGTGCCTTGTACAGCGAGAGAGCAGCCAAGCCTTGGTTGTTGCCTTCGCACTGCAACATATACATGGCGGAAATGTACGCAATTTGGCACACTCTCGAGGCGGTGCGAACCGAGAAGGGTTCAGCCTTTCTCGTGTGTACCGACTCTGAGAGAAAAGCTCATGGAAAGTTGAACTATCATGTTCTGTTCATTTAGAAAATGTCACAAGGATTTTTTGTTTATTTTATTGTTTTCAAATGATGCACTCTTGAAAAATGAAAATAAGCATTATAAGAATTGGATAAATTTACTAACCAATTAGATAATGGGCTCTGGCAACTTGAACAAGAGGAAGAATAGCTGCTCCCGGCTGTATTGTCTCCCTCTCTGTAAAAGAATCCATTAATAAAATATAAAATAAATTCCAACTTAAATTACAACAAATTTACATATTAAAACATTAAATTATTAACCCTCAATAATACAGATAGATCTGTTACGTACATATAGGATATTTTATAGCAATTGGGTTGTCAGGAAAATAATGTAGTTTATGTTTATTAAAACAATGAAATAAATTATTTTAAACATTTTTTATTAATTAAAAAAGGTTTATTTTTGTTTCGGCAAAAGTGCAGTGTTGCACCAAACTTCATAACAATGATTTTTTGGTGGTCATTTAATGCATGAGGAACCCAACTTTTGAGCTTTTTAGGCTTAAGGTTGTCACCGATCGTCATTTTGCTAACTGAAGGATTCTTTGCAAGTTTTCAGTTTTTCTGTGATTTTCTTTTACTAAATCTCACAGGACATCATCATCTAGAGAAGAAATCATTCCACAACCTTGTTTGTCTTCAAGGCTCCCTCTCAAAATTTTTTAAACCCTCTATGAAGGTGTTCTCAGTCATATTGCTATCGCTCCAGACGTTTGGGTACAGTTCCAACCAAGTGTAAACTCGAAAAACAAAATTATGCGAAAATCTCATATTGACATCTTAGTAAAGACTGAATTATTCTAAGTAACACATGCAATATGTCAGTCATTATGGTGTTGTTCCTCAAGCTTCTGCTTTCCTTTTCTTGTAAATTTGTCATTTCTATTCTGTATGTGCACTGTTAAGGCAACATTTTCCCATGTAAACTCTCCTTTTGTTTTATAGAAAGTAATATATTTAATTTATTGACAGCGTCCAGCAAATTATCAAACCCACTTTTGAACAAGTGAGAAATGGGATTTTTTTCATGTTTTTTACGAAAGCCTATCCCTCCAGCATAAAGTGGTCCTCCGGGCCGGATAGCAAATTCACTTAATTTCTTTTTTTTACATTGTTAAAAAAGGTAAACACCCTAGGGTTCATCTGTTTATCGTGGAACTTAATCCTGATTGAGACTCAATCCTTGTACAACCTCTGACGACAAGATACCACTTCATGCCATTTGATCTATCAATTGTTGTATTGATTATGTATCCATTCCCTCATCGATTTCCTCACCTCCAGCGACCACTGGAAGGATTGAAGATGCTACCATACGTATCTTGGCATCATGTGGCTGCAGCACTTTGCGTCTTCTGTCATCTTGGACCATCGTCGACAACATCGTTCTTTACCATTCTATCTCCATCGTTTAAGTTAATTTTATTAATTAGTTTATATTGAATGCAAGCTTGCCATTTTATTTATTTATTTTTACGTGGCTAAACGTGCACGGCCTATAAATCAAGTATAGCAACCCATGGCAGATTAAGGGTTAATTATTAAATTAAGTTTATAAAATATTGTGACTTGAGATATTACACATCCACATATTTTTGAGATACATATTACTCATTCCTATAAACTTACGTGTGGTTTGAAGATATATCCTGAGAGTTGGTTTGCATTTCTGCTAAACTGTCCCAATTTTCATCATAGTTGCGTCTAAAGGATGCTTCGCCCCAATTATCATCCAGTGTTCCACTTATATTTTTATTTGGTAAGTTTTTCCTTCAAGAAAAATTACATTTAATTTAACAAGACATTTAATTTAATAATTGAAAGGGAAATACTTACGTATAGGAGTTAAAATTAGATGTGAGTATGTCTTGACATCTGTTAGTCACTTCTTCGCCGGAGCCACGGGCGGCTTCAGAAAGGGATCCGTCGCTGTTGCTCTGAACAAAGCCAGAGTCATGGGGACTGTGTTGCATTTCATTGGGAGGAAGCGGGCTATTCTCAATTATTTCGACAACAGGTTGTTGGACTTCACGGTTTTGTAAACGGCCGTCCATTATCTCCGCAGGGAGCTCTTCTCTACCCTCGATGCATTCGTGTTTGTTTGACCATTTGTCTGTTTCCTCGTTGTCTTTCGTCCTAAAACATATCAAAATGAATTAAGCCAATAAATTAATTAGAGGGTGGTAGCAGAGTAGTTTCATGATAGATTCTCAGCTCGTTGACCCTGCAATCAATTACCACTGTTGCCCCTCGACCTTTATTTCATGATACCTTTCCCCCCAATTACGTAGAAACTACTCAACTACGTACTTTGGCTAATATACTAGTTCATACAGCCATTTAAAATAATAATAAAATGAATTTGGTTTTTGATTTCTTGGTCGATCATTAATTTGGCATTAGATCACACATTAACCCCTTTGCCTTACAAATTTTTTTCTGAAGTGTGAAATGAAAGCCAGGATAAAATCTAAAGGTAAAAATATGTTAGCTCAAGCTAACCCAATTGAGAATTGCATTCTTTGAAAATAAGTTACCTCGTGATATTAAGGCAGGGGTTAATGGTGTAAGTGATATAGATTATTTTTTAATGCAATCAAAAATTTTAATTTAATAATGAATTACCTCTTCAAATTTTCAATCTTCTCACAGTCTTCAGAGAAAATCAGTTCTTCCGAAGAAGAGAGCATTTTTTCTAGCGTCAACAACTCTTCTTCAGTGAGAGTTCTAAGAAGTTCACGAATCCTAATGAGGAGTGTCTGTAAAACATGCTTTATTAGCCTACGCATTCAAGAATTGAGTATATGCAGAGAAAAACTTTACCTTAAAGGGTTTAAACATGTCAGAAATTGGTTGAGTGAAACTTAAAGAAAGCGGGCCATGTGGGAAAATCACAAGCCCTGTGACTATCGCAAGCCTTGGTATCGTGAACATAAGAGCAGGGTCGTACTGATCTACCATTTCTTGCGTCAAAAGGCCCATTTTCAAAGCTCTAAAAGAATTTAAAATAAAAACTTCAAAAATCATTTTCTTGTCATTTTATATTCTTGGAGAAAAGTTGAGCAAATTACCTGTGAAGGGTCTCTGAGAACAGTACAATTACACATTGCTGAAGTTCATACTCTTGTACAGACTTAACAGGGACCATTGCACTGACATAAGCCAGTTCGAAATCAGCAAGAAGGCGATCAAAAACCTAACAAAAACAGTTCAATTATATCTCTCTCTTTTTTTTTTAAATATTCCAAACTGAGGAAAATATAAGATACCTTCAGAGACTCAGTCAGCTTGTCAGTTTGGATCTCACTCACAGGAGTGGAGTGGGAACGGAGGGCTGCCTCCCTGAGAAGGCCTCTTACATTATCTAATGCCTTCGTGAGCGCTTTTGCAAGGGGCCTCATCATGCTGCTTTCTGCTTCTCGGTTCATGATGCTTGAACCGGCAGCCAAGCACTGAAAAAATATGCGAACTTCTTAATCCTGAGATAAAGTTAAGTCATATTAAAGTTTTTAGCTTTTTCATTAGTTTTACAACCTTCTAGCATATCATATATTCATATTATTTCAGCTTGTAATCTTGCTGACAGACCGAAACATATTTTTGTTTTAATCACTCTGTTTTATGTCTGTGAAGACATGAGCAGCCTATACCTTGATCAGTCATGATCTGTCTACTCTCAAATCACCTCCAGGTCTGTCTTTTATTGGAGACTATGTGTCTGTCAGACAGATCAATTGTTGAAAATGACAAAATGCTAAAGCTAAGAGGCAAAACCAGTGAGAATCGGGAAAAAAGAAAATTATCGGGGATGTTCAAATTTTATGTAACATTATTGCACTTGCTTACGCTACTTTTATGTAATAGTTGTTTCACTATTTGCACAATAAATTTCCAAATATTAAAAATTTGACAAACTTTATCATACAAAAATATGGAGCTTGTACTTAAACCAAAAGTTAAGTAGAGTAGAAATTTCTGTTATGCAGAAAGACTTAATTAAAAAGTTATGGAAGGAGGTATGTCTTAGATAATGACAAGTATGAACCTAACCTTTCCACTTAAACTACACACCTGAAAAATCTGTAATTTGGTCGTTACCGGATGTATCATGACTTTATGAGAATAGCTCACTTCCTAATGAATGAACTTTTCACTTTTTTACATCAGAGATAAAATCAATTTTATTAATTTAATCATACCTCAGCACCAAACCAAAGTTGTCCAGCAAGATTGTCCTGCATCACATCATCAGGAAATTTGACCCTGAAGTCCCTGTCAGCCCTCTCATTGGGTATCATCTCATCCATGATTTTGTTGCAAATGTTCAATACCTAGTATAAAATGGAAAACGTTACAAAATATCAAACGAAAAAGGATGAAACAGGGAGAAATTCACATATAAAAAAATATACTTTCTCCCATTGTTTCCTTGTCAATTATTTTATTTATTTGTTTATTTATAAGACAATGGCCCTCACCTTGTCCTGACATTGTCTCAGGTGGTTGACAAGGCTAGAGCATCGTTCGGGGTCTTTGCGACCGTCAAAGCTGTCAAGCTCAGCAGCGACGAGATTGAGTGCTTCATCCGCATAGAAAAATTGTGCCAAGTGGGATGTGTCATCCTTCTGTAAAACATAAAAGAAAATTATTGAGTGGAAATTATAAGCAACACAAATTTTATAAAAGTGTTCATCTAACTCAGAGGTTAAGAAGTACCAAAACTTTAATTTAATTTACTAATTAAATTAGATTTATCAAGGGACAAATCAATCTTAATTATTCATTTTTATTAAAATAATAGCCTGGTTTTATATACAATTTTTCTAATTTTGTTTGTTTTGTTGAAAAATGTTGAATCATGTAACCTAACCAAACCCATGACAAACCTTAACCCTACTTAATCCTAACCATTCTAAACAATAAAAGTTCTGCACATTGAATAATCACATTCTATAAATCTTGACTATATTCAAGCCCCAGATTGTTCTGTAGAGCAGAATTTATAAACAAAATTCTCCACTTCATGGCAAAATGTTAAATCATCTATATGTAACCTAACCTAGCACATTACTAACTTTAACCACCCTAACCCTACCATAGCCCCAACCATTCAAATTAATCATCACGTTCTGTAAATCTTGAATATATTTCAAGACACATAGTTCTGTACAAAATGTATAAAGCTGGGAACACATTTACCCGATGCAACAAAACATGAAATGACCTGAGCCAATCTGATGTCAATTTTTGTAAGATTGTATTACCCCAGAAACCCCCCTGGTACAGGTTAAAGAAACCGTTTTCATGTAAATATATATATGACAAAATCAATTAAAGTTGGGCACACTGTGTCTTTATGTTATTACATAAATCTTAATAAATCGGGTGGCATTGGGTCATGCCGCATTGTATTGCATCGGGTGTGTTCCTGCTTAAACATAACACTTGCTTATTTTCTCCACTTTATGTAAATACACAGGATCAGTGTTTTGCTTACTATGTTAGAGTATGAAGGTTAGGTTAAGAATGACTAGGGTTATGGTAACCCATTATTCTTAACCTAACCATCCATACACTAATCTAATAAGCAAAACACTATCATATTTTCTTTATTTTCCAGACAAACCTATTCTAACCTTACCATAACCCTAATTCAAACCTAACGCATGAATGAGTTAAATTAGGTAGAGCTAGGATCAGTGTCAGGTTAACAAAACTGTTTTTCCCCCTTTTTTTTTAATGTATACATGAAAAATCAATTGAAAGTTGGGCAAACTGTGTCTTTATGGTCTTATATAAATCTTAATAATATACAAATTGGAGGGAAACGTCTATATTAAATTTACCACCAGTGAATTCAGTTCAACATGCATATATGTGTCTGTCTAGACAGAATAATAGATATCATTTATACCAATAAATATGTATATTATTCTGATATCTTTCAAAATAAAAATAATAAAGAAACATCCCATTTCATTGAAACAAGCGAAAATATTCTGACCCTTAACATTTTTTTAAATTGATTAATGCACTAAAAAATATTAAAGCATAAGTGAATGAGTTTTATTGAATTAAAATTAAAAAATGAAAAATTTATTAGCATAAAAAAGCTGTTTATCATTATAATATTTGTTATTTATGTTTTTTAGTAATTGGTGTGAAAATTTATCACTTAAAAAAATAAGAGATTATATAGAAGTATAAGTGTTCGAAAAATAAACATAATTTTTCCTTTGTGAATACACTTGTTACTGCAAATTTGCTTAAGATGTTTCAGATAAGACAAGCATAATTGTCTCAATATTTAACTATGAAACTCAGTATTACATCAAAATTTTGGGCCTTAGTGTGTAAAGGGAGAAGAAGAAAAGAAAACAAAACTATGTATAACTTGCCCATCACAAAGCAGCTTTCACAAGAAAAATCCCTCTTTACGGGAATACACCAGGGGTCACGCACCCCTCTCTCTAAAGCTATTGCCATTCTCATGTCGTCAGCCAACAAACCTTTCAGAAATTCTCAATCGCTAATATTGTACTAGTTCAACAAAACAGTTCATCAATCAATAAAGACAAGCCAGTGTCTTTTGAACCTATCTCGGTTTATCAGACGATCCGAACAGTAATGGTCCTATTCATGTAATCGGATGACAAAATAAACTTGTATAAGATTTTCTTTTTTGAGAGTTGGGTGTGATTTTAAAAGTAAAATGTAACATCATGACTGCAACCCATGTAATTCCAGCTGTATACTAGAGGGTGGGTAGGTGACAAATACGAGAATCAGACGACAAATCTCGGCACGTATAAATCATAAATGATAATAAAAATTAAATAATCTTTATGTAAGGTATTGATTGAGATAAAAAAAAGTCAGTGCCATGAGCGGGAATCGAATACGCATGAGCTATCATGACCAAGAGGTTAGAGCAGCGGCGTATTTAAGCTTTAGTGACTAGGAGTTTGTGGCCCTGACAAGGACCGGTGTTGTGTTGAGAGAAGCCGTGACGAAGGTATGAGGCCGAGACCGTGCGAGTGGCGCCGTTAGTTGTGGTGTGTGACAGTAAACCGTTGGCTGAGGTCCGGGGGCCGTGAGTCGGTTGACTCCGCAGAGGCCGAAGGTACTGGAGTGCAGCAATTAGCCGAGAGCAGCGTTTGGCGTTTATAACCAAATCGGCTGTGTATAGAAGACGAGAATCAGGCTAAAGCCGCGAGTACCCTTGCTGTCATTGATGGTGTTCCATTACTGATAGTTCGTCGGGTTGAAGAGTCTGATTCCAGCGAGGCAGTGCCCCTGCTTACATAGAGAAGAGCTCTACTCTGATTGGCTGCAGAGTGGAGGGAGAGAGCATTCCATAAGTGGTAGTGTCATCTAGCGGTAACGTGGTAACTACAAAGTGGCCACTACAAACCGAAGGTCGTGGGTTCGAATCCCGTTCGTGGCACTGACTTTTTTTATCTCAACCAATACTTTACATAAAGATTAATTAATGGAAAAAAGTTAATGGGTCAATCGGACCATGAACTCTAATAGATTTAATAAAAATTAAACTTCGATTGAAACGATAGCCTATCAACCTGTTCGATCGTCTGAACATTAGAAAAATTCAATCAATGGGTCCCTTCAATAATTGGCCATGGATCAAAAAGACAATTTTGATTTGAAATTTCCAACTGTGCCAAGGGGAAAATATCGAATTGTGTAAAACGTGGCACCAGAGCCTAATTATTCGTTTATGTCACGATGTCAATGAAGCAATTTTCACGCTATCACGGGGTTTATTGCAAGGACGTTTATATGTTATCCTTCCCATGGAAAGAATCTCGTTCGACGAGAGTGGATTAAATTTATTTTAAATCGATTTATTTGTACGTTTTTCAAGGGTTTTCCATTGAACGAGGTTCAAACTATATTTCATACGTCACGGAGCCAAATGGAAATCGGATCGATTTGCCCTTCGCCAGAAACGGCGTGACACAAGGACGGTAAGCACTTTTTTATAGGTTCTACCGGGACGGGGTAGGGACGAGAGGCCACAAACTTCCTGGTCTGGCCGGTGAACCTGGCGGCGATTAGATATTTTCCGGCGCACGGTTAATTGCCCCAACTGGGAAGAGTTTAACACTTCATAATTGACTCTATGGCATAATGCTCGTGTCGTCTTTGTCGCACGCCGCGTTCAACGGATGGGAGGAAAAATTTCAACGAACCACCCAGACGTAACTGGTTGCAAAATTTTTGAGCAAATGAGTTACATGGCTAATTGCCCAACCGGTTCCATGCTATAGGCGATTTCACTACGGTTTATCCTGTAGCGCATGTGTCATTGTCGTAATAAAATAATATATTTAAAAATTAAGAATATGTTTGAGGACCAAAACAGGTCGTTCTTAATGAAATGTCGCTTCACCTACTACTCGCTGCCATGTCACGATGTTTTTACAGTGTTTTAACCCTAGGCAATTGTGAGATAAGGCTGAATGGTTAATGTAGAAATCCTAAAATAAAAGAAAAACCCAAAGTCTACTTCTACTACTCTCCCCTTTTAAGGCCAAAACAAGATAAAACCTAAGACTTCTTTCTCGAAATTCTGAATTATGAACTATTCCACCAGTAAATTTCCACTCTACATAAACAAAACATTTATTTTTGCGAAATAATATATTGCTATGTGAGGTGGTTAAGCTGTAGGTGGATTTCAACAAAAAGGACTTCCTAAAATGAATAAAATGATTGAAAATGAATAATCAAACTTATTAAAAAAAAATCTCTATCCCTAAAATCAAGACAAGTAAAATCTTATAACTTCTGTATGATACAAAATTTTGACTTATGATTCAACCAGTAGTTTTTTCATTAGAAATAGTAATTGCAGATTGTTCCGTCTCTCAATCATCCTGGTCAAACAAAACACGTTTTTGTACAATAGTTTACTAAGTTATGTGAGGTAAATCAACAGTAAAAGCTATCTAATAATCCTTTTGATTTTATTTATCATCATGGAAATCGTCAAATCTTTGAAACACAAATAAAAACCAAAGAAGGACGAATGGTAAAAGCCTATGTAAAAAAAACCAAGCCTCCACCCCTACAGTCAAAACAAGAGACATTCTAAAACTTTTGTATGATACAAGATTATTAATTAAGATTCGACCAGTCATTTTTCCACTAGCCATAGCAATTTCAGAATGTTCCGTCTCCTAATCACTCTGGCCAAATAAAACACTTGTTTTTGTGAAATATTGTACTGAGGTATGTGAGGTGATGATGCTGTAGTTGGCTCTCAACGAAAAGGGTTCCAAAAAATGAAATAAATGACTAAAAATGAAAACCCAAACAATAGTAAAAGCTCATATAAATAAGTCCAAAGCCCCACTCCTAAAATCAAACCAAGATGACTTATAACTTCTGTACGATACAAGATAATGAATTATGATTCAACCAGTAGTTTTTCCACTACCCATAGTAATTTCCGATTGTTCTGTGTCCTATTCACTCTGGTCAAACAAAACACTTGTTTTTGTGAAATATTGTTCTGAGGTATGCGAGGTGATGATGCTGTAGTTGACTCTCAACGAAAAGCATTCCAAAAAATGAAAAACCCAATTAATAGTAAAAACAA